AGTTAGTGTTGACATGGTTGTAACTTTTTTTGTCCAAAGTACAGAGTTTTCAAGTGTAGAAATGAAAGGGACTAAATTACTACGGTATGTATAAATCATACTTGTTAAACTTTGTATTTTATTCAGCGGCTTCTACACATAGCAGTAATTTCAGCTTAACAAGAGAATCTTACGACAATAACGCAATCGGCTATGTCCAAATTAAAAGAGATGGAGAATTATGAACAGTAAAAAGTCGAGTTAGTCCGGAGCATATAGTACGTAAAGAAGGTAATCGTGTTACAGTTATTTTAAATGAAACGCAAAGCTTGGTTCAGTCCTGCCAATGTGAAGATGGTGCCACACATTTTAAACTTTATCCAATTTTCGACATCATTCTCCAACTGCAAAATTAAAAACATGTTATAGACCGGTTTTGTAAGTATTAGGTAGGTTACTAACGCGTTTTTACGTACAAGCAGATTAATTAAGCATTTAACAAGTATATTCGCCGATTTACGTCAAAGTGATCTTCACAGCGTCGAATTCTTTGGAGAATAATTGTCATTTCTCTTCGCAGCTTGAAACAACTTCGATTAGTCTTTGGCTGAATGTTACTACACCCATAGCCATTAAAAATGTTTCGTATGTTTTTCAAACCGGTAAATTTTAAAGTCCTTTTTAAAATGAATATATTATACAAAGGTGTCCGTTAAAATCTAATGACTGTGAAATAAAGTATAAATTACGCCAAGGATTACCGTATATGTCAATATTTTTTGTGCATTTGGGCCAATTTCAGCAATCTACTTTAAACTGTTAATTTAAAACCGCATTTTTTCCGTTAAAGTACAATGTTTTAATTTTTTAATATACCTGTGGTTTATTCATGGTTTATTGTTTTTTGTTTATTCTACATGGAATTCTTTAAAATGAAAACAAAAATAAAAATATTGCATTTTCCCTATTGTCGAGGCTGCACTATTGCTAAAACTATTTTAATTATAATTATTAATGTTCTCAACCATTTAACTCTTTTATATTGATTATTAATATTTACTAATTATTTAAGCTTGTATCCCCGTAATCGGGTAAGTTTTACAACTAATTGTAAGATAACTAATGTACATACTTATACTTTACTAGGAATGGGATATCTAATGTAAATGTTGTAATATTAGATCGTTATTTGATTATTTAATCTTTATGGGTTGTCCATTAACCACGTGAGGCTCGAAAGGGGGGGAGAGGTCCATTAAAAAATGAAATATCACAAAGGGGAGGGGGGGGGAAGGTATTATATCACGTGTATTTCCGCGGTCCGAGGATACTGTAAATTAAATAATGTTCATGTTTTCAAAAAAGCTTTTCACATTTCTTTCATTATTTTTATTGATACTTACCGGAGTTAGCTGATACAGTTAGGGTGAAGAACGAATACCCTCCTCAAAGCGTGACGTATGAGAATTCCAGTGACCACCTACAACCTAGAAAATTCGTACCAGCTGCTCTACTTAGGTAGGTACCTACAAGCTTTATCGGCCTATCCTTTCTTACATCTGTTAGCCTGTTACCAAAATGCTACCTAGCACCTCAGGCCTAGACTGCTGTCCTGCTCCTGCATCTACCACCCGGCACCATCAAAGACGGTAACGTTGCTAAACAACTCCTATACTACTGATGACAAGTTAAGACAAGGAACCCCTACCATTGACCCTGATCTTCTTTATAGAGTTCCGCAGTCCTGACATGGAATTCTTAGTTTCGTCATGTCTTCTATTTGTACGTCCCCGGTTTTGCTTCGAGACTATTAAGCACCAGAGAGCTGTAATTTTGTGGAGATATGAATATCGATCACGCCGACAAAATGGTAGAATAAAATTTTGAAAAATATTTTTTTTGGTAGCTCCCTTACATGTAAGCTGGCGATGTTTTTTTATCATCTACCCCATCGTGTGGGATATCATTGAATAGGTCCTTTAAAATTACTTAGGGGTTCCTAAGACTATTTTTCGATTAGGGATCCGTTTGCAAAATATTGAACTTTAAAGTGCTAATTTTTGTTTGAGTTGTGCGTCACCCCCCCTCCCCATCTAAAAGCTAAGCTGTCGTCTTGAAAATTCATTATAATAGTACTTTTCATAAACTTTTAAAGGAAACTGTAATAGGATAAATGTTGGTTTAAGAGTAAAAGTCGTGTTCAAATTTGGTTAAAGAAAATTTCTTATCTATTGAAAATTTCTTAGGAGAAAATATTAATAATGACATAAATGAACTTATTGTAGCGTAAAACCTTGACTTGCAACAAAATCTAAAAAAATTTTTTTTAAAATCCTGCAATAAAATATCGTTAGTTTCACAACGCTACGCTAGTTTTCTGCCGAGCTTCTGCCGTAGTTGTCACCACTGTCTCTTCCGCTCGCTGAAACTGTGTGTACAGATTCTATCTTACAGTGCGATAATGAAGCATTGTTTACCAGCGCCGAGTCCCTTTCAGCCGCCTGAAACCTGCCTGAAATGTCACTGAATTTTTTCGTATACTCAAACGGTTGTTTGAAGAGGTCGGTGACCGTTGCCTGATGACGTCACTCATGAGTACGTACATGAACTGGTCGCACAAGTTCTCGCTTAAGTTTGCTTCGAATTCGCAGTAACGTGATGACCTTTTTAATTCTGTGTCAAATACCAGAAATCAATTGGCTAAGTTTTATCTTATCATCCATGAAAGCAGCGGAGTTTCATAAACACTGTTGAAAATAAACTGTTTATAATATTTATATAACATTGTGGATATTCGCTACGATACTGTTGAGTTATGGCTACATGGTGCGACGAATCACAGCGGATGTTATCGCCTAATTAGGAGTTAGTTTCGTTAGGTATCACAGACAAACCAGAGGCTCAAGCACGAATTTTTGGCAGCTACGTATATATCGCATCGTCAAAGTTTTTAATGAAAACTAAGCCGCGCCACTGTCGGACGTTAGAAGAAACTAGCTTTCTCCATATAAAATTTTACATTGACGATGACGATACGTTAAGGAGCTGTCAACTACTCCTGCTCCTGCTGTCAGACTGGTCGTGTAGACGACCAGACGACGATTATTTTCGAAGTCCTTGGTCACCGCGCCAACTTACATCGCATATAGGTCGAATTAGCGTTCGGGATGAGTCCGTCCGAGGACAATCACCTTGCCAGTGCGCGGCCATTCGTATATTCAAGTTTTCATATCGTTCATTCAGTCTAGGCTGTTGCGCACACGCACTTGCGAATGTCGAAAAGCTACGCCATCGGTTCGCAAATCCACGGCGGGAGACCTTGTACTGAGAAGAATCTGCAAGAAACTCAGCATGGGCTGTTTTTTTTTCCTGTATTAAATACAGAGTCGTCAAATTGAAAAATGACTTTCTTAAGAGATAGGTACCTCAAGAAATCACATTGCATTACAAAACCCGTCTCAACTCCCGGCGCGCATTGAGAGGACTCCTGTCTACAGAATGCGTGCTGGGTGGCCAGTGCAGGAGTATACATGTTTTTACTGGGTCAAGAAAAAAGAGTCACCTGATTGAAATATTGTCAAGCTATATTGTATATTGTTCAGGTTTTTTAGGCTTCTGAGTCAAGAACAACTCTTATACAGCACCCTTATAGCATGGGTATCCGTTCGTCCACCGCCGCGGCGCCGCGCCGCTTAGTTCAGAGGTAAATAGCACCGAAAAGCTGCAATTCGTTATGAATATACAATTATATTCGTCACACCGATAAAGTGATAAATAAAAAAATAGGTTAGCTCACTTACATGTAAATCGATGATGTCATGTCATGTCAATGGCAACCCAGCCACTAAGTGAATATTTCGCTTCCATGTTTTTAATTTCTGATAAAACTGTTATTCTGTTATGTACACAAAACTGTAACTGTAACTGTTATGTAAACAAAACATTGATGTCAGCATTGATGCTATCATTTCTCGTTCTGGTTTTTTCATCTGGTTCGAGTTATTAGGTACTCAAGTTGTTTATTGTTTGCCGACGATCTAAAAATATACAAAACTGTCCAAAATTCCAATGATGCTGTGCTTTTACAAAAAGATCTGGACCAAATAGCGGCTTGGTCACACGCAAATATGCTTCCTTTTAATCCTGACAAATGTATATGCATATAAAATTCACTAAGAAACGATCTCCGGTTAAGTCTACATATTCTATAAATTCCCAAGTTCTTGAAGAGGTATCGTCCAATCAAGATCTCAGTATTGTTTTGGATAAAAAAATACTTTTCACGCATCATTTTGACCATATTATATCTAAGAGTTTAAAAATGCTGGGATTTCTTTGGCGTAGTTGTAAGCGGTTTAATAATGTGGAACTCTACATTGCGTGAGACCTCACACGTGCTTGGTGGGTGGGTTACCTTAGATTACATCAAGTTTTTTTTAATTCTACAGAATACTGTAGTGTACTATTGACATTGTTGTTATGATACAAACTCTTCAATAATGGAATAATTTTAGCAACAAAAAAAAAGAGAAATGGGTTTATTGTGTACAATTTACAGCCCGTATTATTAGAAAGAATTGGTTATACAAAGATTTCATAAAAAAGACATTTTGATTCCAGTTTTTAGTTAGACATGAATGTTATGGAAACTATTTCTAACCGGAATAAAATTACTTAAGAATTTTCATGTCAATTTCATGTCATTTCAAATGAACGAAAGCTCACTTTAAATATAAATATTTGTTCACTCACTTGTACGGGGTAGTACAAATATTCTTCAACCCGGATCCTTTAAAAGAGGTGTGAAAGGTGAAGAATCTTATTGCAGGTGGCAAGGTGAAGGAGAAAGGTTAATATGGCCGGTAAAACAGCTGTGCTAGCTATCTTCGCATGTGGACTCCAGCGTCACTTAACATCAGGCTGGTTGGGATTATTTGTTGGAGCCATTTATTAAAAAACTTGGGTATTTTTCTTTAGTACCTGTTCACTTATATATACCTTTTCTTACGCCTTTATTACAGTCACTTATCAGCTAGTTACGAGCTTCTGAGGTCAATTGAAGAGATCTCGATGGCTACGAGCACTGCCATCTACATCACGAATCGAGGACTTGACCTGACGCTGTGGAATCAGTTCGAGAAACATCGGCAGCTCGCCCTGGAGCACCTGCAAGATGTAGTCCACTTCTTGGAGGCGGAACAACTGCTCACCGAGATGAGGGAACTACTTGGAATCATGGTGTTGTAAGTGGTTATTAGACGTTTTCACTTGTTCCCACCCATCAGTCGAGCCCGTTAATGGTGAGTGAAAACCTTCAACAGGGTCGAGTGTTGGGTCATAGACCGATATCTCTATAATGAAAACCTACGTCCCAGCAGTAGGGACATTATAATAGCCTGCACTGATGCCCGCTCCGCGTGCTTTTTCTTGTCATTTCATAGAGCAACGCTGCTTTAGGCGGGTCTCGACGGGTTGAATCTGTCCGCGACGGAGCACGGACCGGGTCTCCGCGATGGATATCCGCTCCGTGCTCCCGCTTAAGGCAGCCGACGTTCTTAGGCTGATGATAATTAGATTTTTATATTTCGTGCATTAAACTAAGTTCCACACATGACAGAAGATACCTACGTTTAGAGAGACTGAGGTTAGTTGAATACTATGAAAGCGAAACTTTAAAATAAAGAATGAATATAACTTTTAATTATTAAACGATCACAACATTTTACTAGTAACCTGACTTTTGTATCAATAAAAATGAAAATATTAGACAAAACATTACATAATTGGGGCCTTACCTTAAGCTCTTATAATGACATTGTTTTTATTTTACTGTTATCCTGATGACAATGATAAATTAATGTGCCTTATTCAGTTGACATAATGTATAGCTTAAGAAGATTTTACAAAAAAAAACCACTCGACCCAGGAGTGGACTTTTTCTGGTAAAACTCTTAAAATTTAAATATATACCTATCAGTTAAATGCTTAAAACAAAAATATGATAATAAAAAAGCTCTTTGAAAGTAGGATCAACAATACAAATATTGAATTAAGAATGAAACAGGTAAACACTTCACAATAAGGCGACTACAACTTTTTTGTTGTATTAGGTTGTTGCAGTAAGCAAAACCCACAATGCTACGAGTGTCTGCAACGACACGTTATTACGTGAACGAATCGAGTGAACGTTAGAAGAAGAAGAAGTTAGAAGTCTACGGAAAAGGGTCATAAATCCGGATGCAAAAATTATAGTCCAAGATCACAGAGCTACCAGAACTTACTTATTTTCTGATGGAAAAATATGTACCAAGTATTATTAGTGTGTACGATCAACCATATGATTCCTGATACACCACAATTTCATTTTGTTAAAACCATTTGAAAACAATAAGGTAGTTTTCGCTTAAATGTACGTATCCCTGGAAACAAACTTGTTATTTCCTGAACAATCATATTTGACGTGACAGATTTTGCCGCCTTCCTGTAGCATAATTTTGACATTAAGTTATTTGAAGTATCGCCCATGGACAAAGGATTTCCCATTAGTTTACCAACGTTTTTTATAAGAAAAGAAACTAATTATGCTTTCCAATTACAGAGCATAATGCGACTCAGTGCCGCACAATGCCCAATTATGCTGATGCTTAATTGGAACGTGAATTAGTTTTCAAATGCACCAGCAGAGTGCGCTAAGTTCAGTGTTGAAAAAAAAGTCAATGTTTGTACCTTCATCCATACTTATATTTATTTTTTAACAGTTTGAATGAACTTTGATTATTTAAAAAAAACTATGTAATGAAACGAAAGCTTTAATAATTTTTCAACAATAAATAATATTAGTAACGATAACATATAAATAAAACATTTCGATCAATGCCAACTTAAAGAAAAAACACTTGTTAATTTTCTGTCTCTGAGTTGGTACGATTGCACGCATCACACGAAAGCATCACTTTTGAGAGTGCTCAATTGTGCGAAGCGTTGCTGTAGTTGGAACACTCAACGTTAAGCATTATGCCGCATAATGCGCTATAATGCTGTAATTGGAAAGCAACCTAAAAGAGTTGATGTTACAGTATCGATTATAAAAGTGATTTGATATAAAAGTGAGAGAAATTCAAACTACAATTCCAATTTATCTAAAACATGATCTATAGCTTTGAATATAAAGTTAACAAATAGTTTTGATCTATATTGACCCAGTTTCCTAGTTATTAAAAGGTCTTAAGTGCAAAGTAAAAGTAAAAAAAAAAATGGTTGCCTGTAAAGTCGGTTTTACGGGCGAAGATTTTACGTGACAACGTCTTTTTCTCGGTAGAATATTTATTGATATGAATATAATTAAATTGCACAATAGGAACAAGGAATTGAATGAAAATAAGAATTGCACAAATTTTAACTATAGAAATATATTTTGTTTACTAAAACATTGTACATGTAAACTTAAACTTAACACGAGAGACTCATCGTAACGTTACCGAGCGTTACACTTTTTCATAAGTGACTCCCAGCCGCAACCTAATTTAAGACGTTGTCACGTCAAAATCTGTACAAAGGAAAACTTGTCTGTTTTGACATTTATAAGCGAATTATCGGGAAAGTGGGTCAGCAGAAATCAGTTGGTCCGATCGTACAATGAACGTATACGTAAATTGCTAACTTGTGACGTGGGCGCTGTTAATAAACATTGTATTCGCGTTACTTACTGTCACAGGACTGATTATCGCGTATGTTGTGGACAATATTAGAAATTTTGAAATTAATACAGCCAGACACATTCTGACAGTAGTATTTACTGCGAGACACTTTCGGTATAATTATGTCGAAAGCAAAAACCACACCCCCCCTATTGGAGGAGGCTGGTGTGCTTGTGCAATATGGTAGCAAAAATCTTATGTAATAATTTAGTAATTTTAACAAAATTGTATGGTCTATAAAAAACACACCGTTGATTACTTTTCTATGATATTAAGGCGATAATTATTATCTTTTGTAAACTGACAGACCAATTGTTGGGGTCAAAAATTCCCTAAGCATGTTCAAAGTGCCACTATGCGAAAAGGGCGAGCTCATGGTATTTAATTTCCTTCTTAATACAGCTTCATTCAAGTTATCTTGTAAAAGGTCCAAATGAAGCTTTTATTAATCAATAATTAAGTTCTTCTTTACTAATTCTATAAATAGGACAGATTTGATTGTTTGTTTGTTTGTATTGAAAAGGCTCCGAAACTACTGGTCCGATTTAAAAAAAAGCTTTTCACATTAAGAATGCTTAGAATGAATTATTCTTGATGAGCATAAGCTATAGAATATTAAAAAAAAGGTAAAGGTTCCATATAAAAACTTCGATAATGTAACCCAATGTGTGAAAAGATATTGAAAAATAACCTTATATTGCGTACGCTGCGGAAATCGTTGACAATTGAGCAAAGTGATGTACTAAACTTTTGTAGTTGACATCAATATCTAAAAAAAAGTCCATGATACCATATGATGTCCAGACTATAAAGGTCCCGAGTCCGCACTGGGTCCATTATCAGCCACCAATCCGCGCTGGGTCCGTTGTCACCCTCCAATCCGCACTGGGTCCTTTATCATCCAGTAAGCACTAGATTCATGTATTTTGCGACGGTTATTGTTCATCGTTTACCGATGAGTCACCGATGACACTAATCGTAACACATTCGCCAGTTTACCCCCCAAGTCAAGCGTGCCTAAAGAAGTTTCACTTCAAAAACGACTTTCTTTATGAACAAAGCAATTCGACCTGTCTGTAGGTATAAATTAAATGCCATGTATCTAACTGGTCTAAAGTAATATATTCCATTGACTTCCATCAATTACGTTCCCTAGAAGATATTTGTACACAGAAACAAGTTTGCGTAGCTGTGCGAACGTTTCGTAATGTAAATAATGACGTAGCTGTTGACTCTCGGCTTTTGTTTCAAGTAAAACCAACTTTTTGAACATACAATTTCATTTTGAATATTACTGTATATATATCTCTGGCATATCGATTCCGCAACATACAATTACGATTTTAATTCATTTGTCAAATTGTAGTTATTCCTGACTACTTGCTACAACAACTTGCGATATTTTGCCGATATTTACTTGATTAACAAATAACTAAAATTAGAACTATCCAAGCTCGATTATGATATTTTGTTCTAAATAATCACTCTACTGATATAATATTATTTTATACAAATCAAAGGAAAATAATCCTAACTTGCATATAAACTTCTTTCTTAGGAAGTATGCTTGATCCATATCAAGAATGGATGGAGAGATGGCTCGAAAAACTTTTTTTTCTAAGTGTAGTGAAAAAAAAAATCGAAAAAAAAACGTGCTTTTGCTCGGATAGCAGAGAGTCCGGGTGCAATCCCATCTGCTGCCTGGTCTGCGTGGAATTTTATCTAGTAAAAGATTCTTTAGATTTAAAGAACTAGCAGTTAAATGCTTAAATATATATGTATACTAGCTGAGCCAACGAACTTCGTATCGCCATAAAAATATGAGTGGTACAAGGGTGAAAATTTAGGGTTCTATATATTTTTGTATGATGTATCATAAAAAAATAAAAACCAAAAAGGACAATGGGCAAAACGCACCCAGCTCCGCCAACAATGTAATTAGTATGAATCGATAGATCTATGAAAAACTAGCCTTTTTTATTATGACACCGTAAAAAAATATCCTGGCAGTCAAAAGATATGACAAATGGGCATATTAAATATGCCCATGTAAAGTGAATTCACTTAAAATTTAAGTAGCTAAATAAATTTGCTTTATAGTGTCTTCATTTTATATTATTAGTAACCATAATAATATGCTATATCCGTACTATACAACCAGATATAGATGACAAAGCCTGCCGACCATCCTGCGCTTGCACTTACTGAACCACGTCAAAACGGTTTACGGGGGTTAAAGGACTTGCAGTTTCAAATAGTCGACTCGTCTTACTTCGTTGTGATTCTGCGCTCCCGGTCACTTGATTGATTTTTATCTAACACGCTTTGGACATTGGAACACGATTATCGATTTTGTCAATTAGTATGGATGAACTGAAATCACGTTTTCTTCGAAAAGTGGACAAGTTTGTGTGATTTGTGGTCGCTCCGTTTTATATAGAAGAGAATTTACTATTACGAACAGACTGTTTGAAAAAACCCCAACCCATGCGGGGATTCTTGGATTTACTCTAACGCGGCAGAATGACACAAGGGGGCACCCTTGCACCTTGTGGAGTACACCCATAATACCTTAGCCCTCTATGTAGTCGAACTAACTAAATTAATTCACTTATTTTATTAATTTTCGTTCGTTATAGGTATGTATTAACTTGTACTTATTTAACCAAAAATAACTAAAGACCCCCGGGATGGAATTTGATGCACTTTGTCACATATGATCATGACTATAATACCTTTCAAACAAATGTAGTTTAAGTCGTGGCGGACATGGGTGCAGCGTCCATACATTTTTGCCCAATGTCCTTTTGTACAAAAAAATTTATGGTGGACCACCCTTAACATTGAGGGCGATGAAAAATTGATGTGGTCCGATTCTCAGACCTACTGAATATGTATATAAAATTTCACAAAAATCGGTCGAGCCGTTTCGGAGGAGTTCAATTACGCACACCGTGACACGATAATTTTATACAGGGCGTCCCACAGCTACCGCACACGGAGGGAAAGTATATTAAATATTAAAGATAGGATATTTTACTGAAAGAAGACATCATTTCATTTTTAATAATCACTAGAACTGCATTCACATATTTTTTAAAAATCGACTGCTACAACTGGGAATCAAACTCGTGAAATTTCGAAAAAAAATCACGACATATTTTATGATAACCATCGAAAGGGTTTATCATAAAGATTATTTTTTACTAAATAACATAGCATTTTAAATGAAAGGAATGTCTTATTACGTGATAAAAATAATAAAGTTTATAATATATCATTGTACGTATGCATTTCTTTTTGAACTCAGTTACAATGCGATTGGCTGAAATTTATAAAAATAATAATTCGAAAATGGAACACATACATTTTCAAGCGTCTGTACTTGGTCTGTACCCCTAGCACGAACCATTATCGAATTCGAATAGTTTGCAAGTGTGAAATGTCAATGTCAAATTTTGTATGGAAACTTATGCAGCAGCGCCACAAAGTACGTAACGAGAACTAAAAATCAGTACACATTTGACAATGGCATTTCGCACTTGAAACTATTCGAATTCGATGTTGGTTCGTGCTAAGGGTACTGTTCCTTTTTTGTGTTTTTCATTTTAGTTAAAAACCGGGTTCTCTTAATACATTTTTACAAAGGGAATCTAAATACGGAAAGATATCTAGAAATACTTAATATTTCAAGAGGTGCCGTCAATAATCTTCCTGATGCAATGGGGCTCATAAGAGTAGGAGAACTGCCGATTTTCTTAATGAACACTTTCCTTCCTGGATCGGTTCTTATGGACAAATAAGATGACCAGCGAGATCCCCAGATCTAACCCCACTGGACTTTTTTGTGGGGTTATGTAAAAGATGTAGTATACAAGAACCGGTAAGACCTGTGCAGGAGTTACAAAATTAACTCAGACGTATTATTACAAACTAAAGCGTGGTGAATTATAAAGCGTCTTTGCGTGGTGAATTATAAATTCACCACGCAAAGATAATGAAATCGACAAGCAGAGAAAACATTAATAGAGTGAGAATTTGCATACAACAAATCGGATCACATTTTGAACACATGATAAATTAAATTATTATTTTTTCTTGCACTATTTCGTTTTTTATTACTTTTTGTTGAATCTTTTTTATTAAAATGTGTAATTTTATGACTTTTCTTTCATTTAAAATGCTATGTTATTTAGCAAAAAATAATTGTTATAAAAAATAATTAACTCTTTCGATGGTTATCATAAAACATGTCGTGTTTGATTCCCCGTTTTAGCAGGCGATTTAAAAACAATCTGTGAATGCAGTTCTAGTTACAATTCAAAATAAAATGATGTCTTCTTTCGGTAAAATATCCTAGCTTCAATATTTAATATACTTTTCCTCCGTGTGAGGTACCCGTGGGACGCCCTGTATATTAGATAAATATATGAGCATGGAGGTTTGGGCATCGGCCTAGTACCTCTAGCACGAATCATTATCGAATTCGAATAGTTTGCGAGTGCGAAATGTCATTGTAAAATGTGTACTGATGTTTAGTTCTCCTTACGTCCTTTGTGGCGCTGCTGTTCAAGTTTCCATATAAAAATTGACAATGACTTTTCGGACTCGCAAACTATTCGAATTCGATATTGGTTCGTGCTAGCGATACAGTTAGCTAAGGGCGACTGTTTCCCGCCTGCCTAACTCGATTTTTGACGAGTGCTTTTTGTTGCAGCTATGAAGACACAGCTTTACAGCCGCTGGAGAACATATCGAGTTTGGCGTTGAACAACACTTTCGATCTGCTTTCATACACACAAAAATCGCATCGCTACATGGAAAAGTTGGTGAAAGTGAAAACAGCTTACTGGGACTTGATCAGGTAAGGTTAATGGCCTGCGCAGACGTGTCATCAATCGTGAAAAAGAAAACTTACAGAAGCGCAAGCTATGGAAATAAATATTCTCAGATTAAGTTGCGTTGTAATTAAGTGCAGACGCGATCTGAGAGACATTTGAGAAATAGATATTTGAAAAAACTATTGCTATAATTTTATTTTTTTAAGCATGTAACTGCTTGATGTTTAAATCTTAAGAAAATATAACTAAAAACCACGCGGACCAGGCAGCAGACGGGACTCGAACCCTCACCCTTCGCAATGCACTGACCAATACTTGTAAAAGTATTCATTTGACATTGTGGGTTACCTACAATGCGAAGAAATGGCGCTGCCTTGCAGCTTAAGAATGGCTAGACGAATTTCGACGCGGTCCGTGAGGGCCGCGGTAGCATAATTGGTCAGTGCATTCGCCCGGATTGCGAAGGGTGCAGGTTCGAGTACCGTCTGTTGCCTGGTCCGCGTGGAATTTTTTCTAGTTATATTTTCTTTAAAACTATTGCTGTCTCGCATTGGCAAATACCGTGTGATAGGGACACAATAGTTAACGCTGAAAATTGCGTATAAAAATGCAAAGTTGGAGGTTTGGCTCTCGTAGATTTCTTCCTTGAAAATAAGATATATGTATGTAAAAGAAATTTTACACAAAGAATAATAAGTAGTTATACTATGCCTCTATGTTTTGATTTTTTTATAAATGCTTATTAAATATCCACACTAGACGTCTTTAGTAGTGATAAAAATTTGTTTATTTTTATCCTTTTTCGAGGGCGCCTAGTTTCGTTGAAACACAAGTTATCGAAAAAAGGAAGACATAATACGAAAATCAATTATTTAGTGACAAAAATCGAGGAGGAATCAATCAATCAGTCGAGAACGTTTGTATGGCAAGTGGACTCGAGTGCTATGCTTGTGGTGAGGCAATAGTTACTGCTAGGCACATATTGGTAGGTTGCAAGGTGCTCCTTGATAGGGGTCAATACTCACGTCGCCATGATAGAGTACTTGAAGTCATACGTGAAGCAGCAAGTCTTGCAGTGGCTAGAGCCCAGAAAGGATTAACCGCAAATAAAAATCAAATTAACATTTTAAAAGAAGACGCAACTGTTAACTCGAAAAGCTTCTACTTTCAATCCTGGGTACTGTACCTGACTGGACTATTTTAATGGATACGTATGAAAAGTATTATAAATAAAATACCAGCGGATGTTGGTGTTAAGTCATCCAGGCCGGATATATTCCCCTTTTCTAGGCACATGAAACATAAAGTATTAATAGAGTTATATTGAATAAATATTACGATGTTACTAATAAAATAACTAAAAATGGCTATCTAGTTAATTTATATGCGGTAGAAGTAAGAGCGAGAGGTATACCAGCAAAATCTCTCTGTAACCTTCTAAAAGAACTAGGGACGAGTAACTAAGGCTGCTCTAACAAGCTTCTATCAAATTTGGCTAGGAAAGGCGGCCAACTCGAGCAGTGAAGGTGAGCGTTGATTCTTGTGCGCGCTAGTGACATATCTGCCTTAATTGTATATGCAATATCATTGGGAAATTCATATTGTATCTTGTACAAGATTATCTTGTTACAAGATACAATATGTATTTATAATAATATAAAAATGATTTGTGAATCTTATAGTAAATATTTAAAATAAATTATTAATAGGAGTCTCTTAAGGTCCGTTTAGATACTGGCAGCCTTCCCCCTTTGAATAGCTAGACTAATTCTTTGTCCGAGGTAACTGCCAGCTCTTCAGTCTCCTGTGATGTCGACTAACCTTTTTGCTATTTCCTCAAATAGCCTTACAATTAAAATTAAGTAACTATTGAAATACAGAATAAAAATACTATAAGTAGGTATTTTACATTTCAAAATTTATTTCAAGTAAATCTTTTATCTGGGTGATACATAATCAGGAGTTGATCTCAAATTGATAACTCATTTGTTTCATTTTTATAATCCAAACCACAATATAATGAGTTATTGTCCTATCTCTAGGCACACCTATCTAGGCTTTCAATACTCATTGACAGTGACACACTCAGAAAAATGGCTAAGCTCTTTTTGGAAATGATCCGTCCATTAGATGAATTTAATGTCGTCCGTCCTAGAATATAATTAGAACTTCTCGGACACATCGCAATCGGACTCCTGAGTAATCAATACAATGAATTTTTAAATACTAGTTAATATTATTGTCAAAACAAGAAGCGCGGAAAGTGTTCTAAATTAATATCCAAAGCTGCTGTTTGTGGTTATAACGCGTTATAATTATAACGCGTGAAGATGTAAAATGACTCGTATGTCCACGGCAGAGTATATAAAATGAATCTACATCATCGTAAATGGATGATGCAATACCTGAATTTCTTTGAAACACTTAAAAAATCTGTATGGAAAACGAACGATTCTATTGCCGGTACGATTTTTTATTTAAACAAAATAATTAGATTTCATTTTTAATAAGATTTATTGTTTCCGCAAGTCTAAGTAAGTTAGTCACACCGCGGATTCCAAGGTAAAAAGTGAGATTGTTCTTACCGAATTGCACTGCAAAAAGGAGTGCATTTACGCACGGAGGGGGTCAGATTTTTGAATAATATAAGTTTATATAGGTAAGAGGTGCAGGAAGTATGAGAATGCAATAAAATTAGATAATATTTCATGAATTCGTAGGGTTAAATTGTGAACTAGGTACAGGGAGTCAATCGCTATGGCTATCGCTATCACTTACGTTTCATTTTGTTATTTCTGACCACCGAAAGTTTTCAAATATCTTTCGCTCATTTTCTTTAATATTGTTGTTACCAATACAAAAGATGAAAAAGATAGCGGGGCATTTGAAAATCTTCGGCGGTCAGAAATAAGAAAATGAAATCGTAAGCGATATCGATAGCCATAGCAATCCGGTTAGGCGATTGGCCACCGGGTCGCGGCACGTACTCGTAACTCTAGCGCTGAACAAAGCGCGGAGGGTATAGCCACGGTAATATTATCTATACAGTATTGTGACTCCGCCCTGTCCTTGATATAAATGCCTACGACCGAGCGCTGCGTTGGCACGCGTTAGGGCCGCCCGCCTACAGTATTTTATGTAGTTTTGTTTTTAACGCGAGTGTAGGTAGATTACTCGCTTGTCTCTTTTTTCATCCTAACCACTTATTTATATATTATTCCAGATATTTTGCCCGATGGAAAAACCGAAATACCTAAATATTAGAAACAAATTACGTACTAGTAGATAGGTATATAAAAAATATTCTATAAAGGTAAGACACCTTTCCAATATTTCAGGTAATTTAAAAAATAATACATATTGCAAAAACAAAAACAGCAATTGTGCTGTTGTACGATATTGATCGTCGTTTGTTCTTTTCCATACTAAATTATGTAGGTATCTACTTAATTAAATCAAATATTTACAATACAAACGCACGTTTAAGCACGGCTAACTGCATAAAAAACAATTCAGACCGTTCGGTCGTCGTTGCGGCGCGGCGGCGCATTCGCGACTGGGTGCCCGCCGAGAGCACATCGAACTCGAGTGGCGTAGGTATGACTCGCTTTCCGACCGTTTGTATGAAGATAGAATACTGTATGATATTATTACCGTGGTATAGCTGCGGAAGGAAACGACAGGAAGGCCAATCGGCGCAACGCACGCCCACCCACGCACCTCCTTTCCCCCCAAGACAACTTATTTTTTTACTTTTGCGCAATAACCGTCAGCACTAGAGTTTCGTGCCGCGACTTACAAGTTGGCACCAATTCGATACTTTGTTTAATGTGGGGTACAAGTGTCAATAAGTATAGTCATTTGGCATTAGCTATTGAAATTAAGATATATTTTAATTAAAACATAAAAGCTTAATATTACCTACAAACCGACCCGGCGAGCGCAGCCAAGTCAAATATTGAGCTTTTATTTTACGTTATCTGCTTGTGTATTCAAGTTTTCAAAAGTTCTACTTTTGCAAAGATTGTTCTAGCAGAAAAAATAGAAATAATTTTCATTTTATTGTAGAATATTGTGTGTTGCTGTAACTAATATTAAAGATTATCTACAGACTACCGGGTACCCCTTTATAGCTGAATTCTTTTGTCGGCGACGCGACAGGCACGCTGTTGCACTTAGCTGGTACCATTTTCATATTTTATGTTTTCGATGGAATGGATGGGATGGGAAGCGATTAGATTAAGGTCTATGGCATTCGTTGTTAAAATTACATAGGAACATGTATATATATTTTTTTGTTTGCATCCATTAAAAGGACATCGACGAAATCGGCCCCAGCATGTCGAAAAGAATGTCCTTCACTATTATTTTTCTATTATTTGTTTTAACTTATTAGCAATTAATCATAGTGAACGGACAATCTGTTTAAAAAAATAAAAAACAAAAGTTCTGTTACTAGATACAGATAGTCTGTTCATCCTAACTTGTCCTATTTGGTAAACAATCTTGGCTCTCCTTTTTATTCAAAATACAGCATTAAAAATCAACTGATAACTGGATTTAATAGGTTTCGGTCTATAATAACGATTTATTTTAAAAGTTTATTGGTTCCTTATTCTTTTATTTTTAAATGGGTGATTTTGTTTAAAAGTTGTGCCAAGATTGTTTCTTCAACATAAAAATAGAACTAGGTACCTTAGTTAATAATACTTATCACTAGTATTTATATTATATTTATAAAAATATTATATCTGAAATTATGTAAAGATAGTATATACTCCCATCCCATATAATATCTGTTTATTTTTATGAAAATCATAATGATGACCAGCTATATAAGTACCTAATTACCGGCAGTAAAATATAGAAACATGTAAATGAAAAGACTTTGAACATTTCATTTGAAAATAAATCTATTATTACTACAGGTAGGTATAGGTACTAGTGATGTAACGAATGCCATTTCTGAACATCCGCGAATGCGAATGGGGATGCGAATGTCTGGTACCGACATTCGCGAATGCGAATATTTAGTTT